GGGGGACATTCCGTGAGCCCCCACAGCAACCAATTAATATGTGTGATGTTCTATAGAAAATAAATATTAAAAACATTGTCTTTGATGTACCGGTACTTAATCTAGGCCAACTACTTCAAAGCCATTAGTCCACAGAAGGGCTGAGGTGGAAACATTTGGGGAAAAAGTACCCTAAATTACAGGAAATGACAATCTTTTATAATAAAATTCATCATCATCGATCAAATTAATCGCTGTGATGTTCCACTGGAAATAAAACACAGTTGTCTTTGATGCATTTTTAATTTACTTTACCATGTGCCAAAATTATAATAAAGGCACGTGCACAAGAGTCGTGTATTATAAGTAATTCAGATGTTGGTGGACAGAGATACTGGTTGTATAGCACACTTCCGTTAGGGTCCGCAGTCCATTTCAACAATTTTCAGGCATCTTCTTGACTTATGAAATTATTACATTACGGACGAAGAGTGAGGGATCAACCCCCACCCCCTTAAAATTTTTTGTCCCTCCTTGATCATGGGTTTAGGGAGAGGCATCCCCTTTCATTTGAGATTTTTGGAATTAGTACACGACTAGATGCTCTTAGATTACATATGAAAAGAAGTTAAGCTTAAAAAGAAAGTGTATATTTACGAGAGTAGGCCTAGCCTACTACATGTAACATGTACACATGAGAAGCACTCACAAAAGACGAGTGACTATATTTTTTTTTTCGAGTTCACACCCCTAGACCCGCCACTGCCGTCCCCTTAATAGGGATTGGCCGTAGTGTTAAAACATATATTGCCCCTCCTTTCACGGAAAAGTGTCCCCATAATAAGGGTGAATAGGGGTGTCCCAAAGAAGGGGTTCTACTGTTTAGTACCTCTAGATGGCCGGAATTGACACTTTTATATAGTAAAGTTCATCATCTTCACATCATCGTTATATAGTCAAAATAAAGCGCCAACAAATTTCTCATGATCTTTTATCAGGGATCTACATATTATCCACTAGTATGCCAGACTGGGTTCCAGTTCCTAATTTTTGTCTTAATTAGTGAAAACTATTAAAAATAAAACTTTTTTGCCACCAATGGCGTTCCATATTATACTTTTTCTGGAAAACACTCTACTATAAGGAAAGTGGAAAAGAATGTGACGACCCAGGCCCTGCTTGCCTGCGAGGGTATTTATAAATGTTAAAGTTAAATATAAATCTATGATGGACAATTAATTTTCTATTTTCTCTTATTATTTATGTTAAATTATACTGTGTTAATGTTCTCAATGATTTATCCTTTTTTACGTCTTATTTGCAAGCTGCTATTCATAATGTTTTTCAAGTACTTATATAATTTTTAATGTTTAATGCTTTGAATTTTAATCTAAGCATTTTATAATTTAAAGTTTTTGATGTTTTATCCATAATTTTGTTATACTTATCATGTTAATTCTGCTTATCATGTTGATCTGCTTAATTTACTTGATTTTTGATACCAATAAAAAGAAAAGATAATAATAAAATGTGCTCTATGTCTAAAGTTTACACTTTGATTGAATAATTACATTCTTCTATACTACATCCAATAAAAAAAAAATTGTTCATAAATGGAAATATTAACCTTTCGATTAAGAAATCTTTGGGTGCAAATTTGTTTTGGACGCATTGTATCAATCTAAGGGTCATCATCGACACGTTCATGGATTTACAGTACTTCAGAAAGTAACTGTTAAATGCTAATTGGTTGAGGCTGTGTCAAAAAAAGTCTTTACCTTCATGATTTTTGACCGTACGTGGCTTTTGAATGAAAACCCGCTGTCGACTCGAAGATCAATCGGAGACGGCCCGAGCATTTAATGCAATCACGTCGATAAAATAAATTGGGAGTTGAGCGGCCGTAGATAACTGTGCCTTCACAACATGATGACAATTCGTAGGTCTAAATTTAAATTTTAGTGGAAGCGGTTTGGCACAGCGGGAACGGACTGGTTTCTCGAGGTCGGGGTTCAATCTTTCACTGTGAATTTCGCTTGTGTCATTGAGCAAGGCACTTTATCTGCATTGCTTCTCTCTACCCAGGAGTTGGATTTACCTGCTCCTGCGCTGATTACCAGCAGCAACACTTAGCATGTGGACCCAATGACCATGGAAAAGAACGGCGCCTTATAACCGCAAGGAAGAGGCGCATTATAAATAACCATACAAGTACCAGTACCAAAGAGCTAGTAGAAAAGATATGATAGTTCAGTCCATTGGTTAGATTTGTCCAAAAAAAAACAAAACAAAAAAAAAAAAAAACTAAGGGGACGGGGATGTTTTCTGAGTGTGCCAAAAGGCGAAATAAGGGGACACCTAAATTATTTTATCATTGTATCACAACTACAGCTGTCTCAAAGTAAGAAAACTTCATTCAATTTCATATTTTAACACCTTTTGAGTAAATCAGACTTTTCGGGTTGTTTGTTCACACGTGCACGTTTACCGGCGCCGCAATAATGGAGGAAAGTTCCGAGCGCGAAGTCTCTGTTTTGTTACAGTTTTGTCCAAAAATAAACAGGTTATTGATTTCATACATTGAAGTGATACATTTACTGTCAGTCTGCAAATACAGTATATATAAACTTGACAAGTTGAACTTCAAAATTATAACAATGTATTTTCATAACTTTAACCATAAATAAAGGTTTCTTAAGTGAATTATCATTGAATCACGAATATCTGTCCTGATCGCGATTTTTGTTCATCATCAGAGAGCTATTTACTCTATGGAGGACCAATTGTTTTTAACGTAGGGTAGTTTGGTAAAACCTCATGAATTATTCATAATCATTCTTATAGAAGATATTTTGCGCATGCGCTATTTTCAAGTCCGTGTCAGCCTCAATGATCAGCTGTTCTGTGCATATATCGCTAGGAACCTAGTGTTCGATTTATTAAATAAAAAAACTGCTTTACATTATGGTATGCAATCATTTAATTTATAATCACGTAACATTAGAGCCTTCATTCAGTCTAATACCAGTATATCAACATCTAGTCTGCTTCATTATATCGTGAACATAACAAGTATTTCAAAATACACATAAAAGAAGGTGATTATTTATTTTATGCAACTTGTTTATTTTGCTTTGTACAGTGGCGTCGCCAGCGTCTGAAAAAAAATATATAAGTCCTAGATTCGCAGCATAGAGCGAAGTTTCTTAGCTTATATAGTGAAATAAACTTTAATTGAACACATATTATAGTAGGCCTACTGTATTTGCAGACTGACAGTAAATGTATCACTTCAATGTATGAAATCAATCACCTGTTTATTTTTGGACAAAACAGTAACAAAACAGAGACTTCGCGCTCGGAACTTTCCTCCATTATTGCGGCGCCGGTAAACGTGCACGTCGCTGAACAAACAACCCCTGAAAATTGAAAATGGTCTATCTCGCCATGACAACACAACATATTTACTATGTCGACTTGGCAAGATAAAATGTTTTACCCCAATGGCAATAATAATGGGGTGGACGGAGTAATGCTATAATTATCATACGTAAATGAAGATCGATCATACTTTAGTTGGATATGTTATGTTCTATTTTTTTTTCATTTGCCATTGTAATCATTTCATTGACTTATTATTTTTTCTGCGCTGTATGAATTCGATTCAAAAAACAAATTCTCACCAGAGACTCAGCATTGAGTTCTCACTGTAATGTTTTACCGAAATAATAAAATTAAAGGAGTGGACGGAGTTAATAATTATCATAATGATTATACTTGAGTTATTTATACCAAACTTACTCTCATTCGTACAATGATTTGGTTAAAATAAAGATGAAAACGCGTATTTGTCAATGTGAAAACATTGTAAATGCGATTTATGTAGTCAAGCTATATCGGAATAATTGTATGTAGGCCTAGTGATGCTTCGATAATGATGATCATTAAAAATATGTATTTATTCTTCATTAAAGAAGGCTAAAAAAACAAAATGGTAGCTATATTGTGTTATTTATTTTGTTTGTATTAATTTGGTGTTGCGTCGCAAGTGATTAATCCCTTGGGAAGACGACATGGAGACGGAGAATGGTAACCACAAATTAATCAAAGTGGTACAGTATCTTTTAGATAGGCATATTCGATTTTGCTAAAGCTGTAGTAATAATTTATTAAAATAATATGATACGAATGTAATAAATTACGTATCATTTTAATCAATTAAAATAGGCCTATTATAGTTTAATAGAATAACAGCATTAAGGATTAAATTGTGTAGTCGTACAATACCGTACATAATTACATTTTTTTAAATTGAATATGTACAGAAATAGGCTACCCCTATGTGAATGTAATGTGCGCAGCGCGCACATCTGGCCGTACCACCACCCTGGAAGCACGGTGCATGCAATTTCAAAATTCTTATCGCTAGTTTGATGACCAAACAAGATGAGCAAAAAAATATCTGACTTCTTAAAGCCTAAAAATACTTCGCAAATTAGCGAATCGGAGCAAGAAGGCTCAGATGATGATGTTTCAGAAGTTGCAGATGCCCCACCATCAATTTTGTCTTCTTCTGATGTTGAACAGGAATGGATGGAACCGAGAAAAGAGGAGCATGGAGAAGAGTCAATTTTCGCAGTATCGGACGCAGAAGAATTTGACTTAGAGGAAGAAGTAGCACAAAAAGAGGGTAGTAGTAGTAAACATAATGAAGCGAGTAAAAGTAGCAAGAAAACATATCAATTCCAAAATAAATGTTTGAAGGAATTTTCTTTTTTACGGTACTCAAAGGCAACTGATAGGATGTGGTGCGCTTATTGCAAAGATGCAAAACCATCAACAAAAAGCGGCCTGGCTATTGGCATTTTACCAGAGGATTTAACGCGAAACCTTTTAACACTTCATTCCCGATCAAAATCGCACAAACTTAGCCGGGACACCTGGTTTACGACGACAAAACAAGAAATCACAATTATAGCGAGCTTTTCTTAATAGTCAGAGTGCTAGGCTTTAGGAATTCAGAAAGAAAGTTAACATCGCCTATTTTATTGCCAAGGAGGAACTGCCTTTTACCAAGTTTGTTCCGTTGGCAACGCTTCACCACAAAAAATGGGGCAGAAATAACATCAACACACGTGAATCATGAAATGTTGTGCTCCCTAATCGGGGGTAATTGCCGATTCAATGAAGGAGCGACTTTCAACTGATAATGACAAACAACATTACATCAGCATCTTGATTGATAGAAACACCGATATTTCGGTTAAAGAGTGCGAGATTGTATACGTCAGAATCATAGAGAATGGTTTGCCGGTAAATCGGTTGGTTGGCCAAGCGGAAGTGGAACATACTCATTGCTGTTGACAGATAGTCTCAGTGTTTCTATTCACGTTGTAATTATTCAAGGCATATGCTAATAAAACTCTGGTTAATTCTTCGTTCTTAACAATTCAAAGTTCTTAACAATACAGAATACGGTAAGTCAAATCAAAATTGAAGTTTAACAAAAGGGGAGAAAAACAATAAAACAACATCACAAACACACCACAAACACATAAAAAATAGAAAAACTCTAAAATAAAGCAATTTAATAAGGGACATCAAGTTATGAATTCAAGTAAAAATTAATAATTCGCAAATTAATTTAGAGCGACTCGAACTCCGCTGATTTTTAACGAGCACACTCCGATTAGTAAATTACTCCTCGGAAAAAGACTATATCGAACACGCCGTTGAGGCTGACGCAGACTTGAAAATAGCGGATGCGTAAAATAAGTTCTATAAAAGGATGATTATGAATAATTCATGAGGTTTACCAAACTATCCTACGTTAAAGAATGTGCCCTTCTTAGTCATATCTATAGAGGACGCTATATATGTCGTAGCTGCGTAGTGTAGGTGGTCACACGGAGTTAAGTTATGATTATTATACATCTTGATTCTAGGCCTAAATGATTTTTTTGGGTAATTATATTGGATTTTTTTGACATATGATTATAATATTGTGATATCTAGGCTTAGTAAGGCTCGAGATCCTTCGGTTATTTACCACCACTGTCTAGCTAGGCCCTAGGCCTAAGAGACAGGTAGGCCGCAGGCGCGCCCTATTTCCAGGCCTATTTAAGTACTTACCTAACCAGGCTAGAGGGCCTAGGCTACACCCGATGGTCAGCGCCTAGGCTAGTAAAGCTGATGCTTATCCTAGTGTAATGCCCTGTCCAGACTATCATTTAAATTTTAGTTGACAAAAACATGTGACATCATATGCCTAGCACTTGCCTAAATATTAAATTATTATCGTAAAGGTGAACTCTGAAATTGAAGTGGCACACGCAATTTCAGCGTATGAGAAGGAAACAATTTCCAAATGTGTCATTGAACACATTGACAAAGCATATACCAAAGAAGGTAGGGACTAATTTATAATATCTTCTTATATATATATATATATATAATATATAATTGATGATATCTTCATGATCTGGACCCATGGTGAAGATAGTTTGGATACGTTCCTATTGAACATTAATTCGGCTCATCCCACAATCAAATTCACTGCTAACAAATCCACAAGCAGTGTAGATTTTCTGGACATCACCGTGACCATGGAAAATGGTGCACTTAAAAC